TGGTCTACATAACGGCCGTTGCGTTCACCGTAATAATCATGTCCGTACTGGTGATCAACAATCTAGATATTAATTTCATACACAGATACTATTCACAGGCCGTATTGAACTTCCAGTTGGCCGTCGACAACAGACCTGAGTCAACAACAGTGACCATCGACTACCAGTTCATTGTCGACCACAACTCCGAGACATCTAAAGCCAAACACATTGGCAGCCAATGGCCGCCAGACCTTAAGGCCAAAGTGTCGGCTAAAATGCTGGAAAGGCTATGGTTTTTGCCGAACGGCACCGGGAGGTTGACGGCTCCCGAGGCCGCCCGACTGGCCCTCTGGCCCGAAGAGAGTCCGACCCCCGGCTACGATCGCATTGTCAATCAGTTACTATACGTGCCGTTGACTTATAACCGGAGTCAGACCAACGATCGCCATAAGACCATATACTTGCACATTATGGACAACGAGTGGCCCCTGGCGTTGGGTCGCAAGGAGTTTCTCCGCTGTCCGGTCAGCACATGTCAATTGGTGCCCAGAAGTCACGCCCCAAAAGCCGATTTGATTTTCTTTAAGGTAATTGTTTTGTATTTTTCAAATTTTTTATTACATTAATGGGTTTTAATTTCTGTGTTTAGTTTTAGTGTTTTAAATGATTATTGTTTGCGTTTTTATGTAATTTGATTAATGAGTGTCTCGTCTATCGAGAGTTATGTGAAGTTATAATTATAAATTGTTTTATTTAGTGGTATTTTATTTTTTTGCAATTTATTACAACAAAACAGTATAATAGTTAGTATTATATGTTTTTATAAAAAATGACTTTTTGTTAATTAATAATGAATTAGATATAAAAGTGTTTTTATTGAATGACAGCCACAACAACATCACATATCGTGACATTTATTTATAATTGTTTAGCATTTTTTAATAGTGAAAACTCATCATTTATTTTGTTGCCAATAATACTAGGAATTAAAAAGTAACCTAAATATGGTTTTAAAAAAATGTTTTTAAAATTATTGATCTTTTATTTGGCATTACTTTAACTGATAATTCATTGTTTATTACTGTTGACAATAATACAAGTAGATAGCATTTTGTTAAAAATAACAGTACATGTCATTTAATATAGCTCATACACATGAATAAATAATTCATTTTTGACATAGTTTATTAATTATTGTTTAAAATACAAAATAATAGACACCAGAATATTTCGTTCAAATAATTTAATACAATTATTGATAAAATTATATAGATAAATATACAACCGGGTCATAACAAGCATTTAATAATATGGGGGTATTGATATTTATTAATTAATATCTAGTATGTCCCCACCCCCAAATTTACACGTGCTAAAAATTTAAGCTAAACTAACATGGCACATAAACTATAATTAAATAGTACATAATAGGGCACATAAATAGACTAATTAATGTGAATAAAACATTTTTTCTCTACACCAGAGTCGGTACGGGTTTGCGGACTTCGCTGAGAATCGTAAGCCCAGCCAAATATGGGCCAAATTTGAATTGGAAAGTCCGGGAAATATACAGCTTCTGGGGCCCGACAATCAGATCAATTGGACGGTGACCTACCGGCACGACTCGGAAGTGGCCACACCTTATTACAAGTACTTTGAGTACCCGGCTCACGAGCGAGCGGCAACTAATACGGCCATGGTCAATTACGCGCTCAACAAAACCAAAAAGGTGATCTGGTTTGTGTCCAACTGTTACGCCAATAACAAGCGACTCGAATACGCCAAAGAGTTGGCCAAACATATCCA